AAAAATTCTTTGTTGAATGAAATATCTCTAATATCTAATAAAATTTCTCTAATGTCATTTCTATGTCTCAATGTTTGTCTTAAGTTGTTCCTCTTCCTAGGTTGTCATTTTTCTACACATTTAATCCTTTTTAGGGAATGTATAAATTTTACATATTAAAGCAGAGAGACAGTTTGCACCTTTTACCTGACATATTTTTCCTTCTCAGGGGCTGATAGCACATACAGAGTTTTCAAGAAGCTGCTCTGTGTCAAAACTTCATGTTATTGTCACCCTTCTCCTCCTATCTAGCATGGGTTTGCTTTATGCAATCGAGACTGAAAGCTCCCTAACACACAGGCTGCTTTTTAGGGACATCACTAGCATGCCTGGCACGGCAAGGCCTATCCAGGCTCCAGYCACACGTGCCACCACCAACAATAACCGTGCACAAAACTTCAGTCACGGAAAATGTTTGGTACAGATTTGAAGGCAGAAACTCTGTTGGTTATTTATATCTTGGCACTGCTGATTGCCAAGACTCTAATTTCAATATAGAKGGGAAGAGTCAAAGCAGAGAAGAACTCCTGACATCACTGGAATTAGACATAAATATATCCGCTCTAAACCAATAAATCTGGGACAGCCTAYACCCGAGGTGGATTTTGCATCTTTCCTTCCCAGTATAACATCTTCAAGATGTAAATATTTGGCATGTATCTATGGAAAAGCCAGGTGCTACACTAATCACAAGTTCCTGTGATAGCACAGATAAAATCAACATACAGCAAGGCRTATCACACTGGAAAATCCCACCCCTCCTAGCAGCGGGCATCTAAGAGAGCTCTTGGTAAAGACAGCTAGCAAAAGATTTACCGGAGCTGCAAAACCAAGGTAAGCAACATTATTCTCCAGGAACACCACAAGACAGACTTATGTAGTGAGTACTTTCCAGGCATAGCAAAAAATGAGACCAGATAAACATTAATACACATACGGGCTGGTTTTCAGCTGCACTGCCTTTCTCAGGGCACGGTCATTGGGTGCCATGGACCCACAGAGGCCTCCTTGGGCAAGCGGCGTGAGGCAGCGCCTGGAGCTCCCGCAGCCCCCCAGCCCACCCAGCAGCACAGAGGTGTGTTCTGCACTGTGGACACAGTGGACATGCTGAGCCATGGCCATGCTCGGGTGCTTCTCTAGCGGAGCTGCACTAACAATGCGAACTCCYCTTTCTAGGGATCTGCAGGGCTCACTGGGACAAGACACGGAAACCCAGGAGCAGCAGGGAGGGTCCTACCTTATCAGCAAAACCTGCTCCTATCCTGCAGAGGTCCCTGTCCCTCTGGGACAAAGAGAAATCGCAGGCCATGTACTATCCTTTCGAGCTATAAAAGTTGCTCTTCTCCCCTCCGTTGCCCTGACCTCACTGTATAGTGCAAAGAACAAAACAGCCACATTGTTAAAGACCAAAATCATTAGTTACTCACCAATCTGTCACTTCCCCTATAAATTCCCACAAGATACTCTTCAGCTGCTTGATGTACCCACACGCATGTGCACATGCACACCRTGTTTCGCAGAAGGCCTTATATTCAAACAGACCCAAGGTGAGTGCTCACATATGCTACAAGGAGGTCTAACACCTTCTGCAAAGGCACAGCCTTCGGTCTGGAACTGCACATAGCTCTTTACTCCTCCAAGATTTCAGAGGTGGCTGCAACTGAGCTGCAGTTGGGCACGGGAAGGTCATGCAGGCTGGCCAAGGGTCCCAGCTGCACCCCTCACTGCTACCCCTAGCTCTGCTAGCTCCAAAGGCTTTGTGGAGACTGCCCCAAGGCCACCAAGACCTAGGAAGGACAAACAAAATAAAAACTCATATCTGAACTTTGTTAAAAATAGTGGAAAACTAAACTGTTTAGAATGGCCAGGCTTATTACAAATGGGGTAGCACTCAATGTCCCCAAAGGGTATACTCTTTTAAATTTAGACATGTTAATGCTTTCTAATCCAGCATCAAATCCACTTTGACAGCTCCTTCTAGATGAACGTATAAAATAAACTGATCTCTCCCACTTGAATTAATGGAGAAATTATTAAACGACATCTGTGGGAGGACCCTCCTTCACTTCCAGACCTACAATCAGGCAGAAAGGGCAAGTCAGAAAGGACACGCACTGTTTCCAGAGCAAATCCATTTAAAAAGAGCAAACAACTCCAGAGGGACCAGAGAGGGCAGAAATTATTTGCAATGTTAGCTAATAACTTTAAATAGACTGTACTTTATTCACATGGAGCTGGCATTGATTAGGTTTATTTATGTAGAAAGTTCAGTGGGGTAGGAACAGCTATTTTTGGACTGCAGGGAGGTCAGAGGAAAGCGAGACAAGCATCGGCATTCCAAGGAACATGGGCTACACTCTCGTAAATATGCTAAACTTGACAGAACCTTTTAGAAAAACATGTTTTCTTTTTTTGCAAAGAGATGCTGGAGTATGGCTCTGTAATGATTACATGTACGAMGTAAAGGGCTAAATCAGCATTTCCTGACACCTCAGCTCCAATGAGTAGGATTGTTTTCATAACATTCAAAAAAAAGACTTTGAGAAAGTCCAATAAAACCATACTTCAACATATCAGAAGTGCTGAATTTTTGTTGTTCTCTGGAAAAACAAGCAGTAAAAAGGCTTTTAATGGCAATGAATTATGTGGTCGAGCTGAGTAACTGAGGCTGCGTCTGGAAAGGAGATCCCGTGGGAAGGAGGGGAGCGCTGCCCGAGCTGCACACACGGGGTGCAAGCACCGCGCTCCAGACGTGTCGCGCTCTGTGGTCTCTCTGCGTGCACACGCCAACAGCCAGTGGCCCCTTCTGCTGCCCGCTGCTGTAGGGTCAGATTTTGCTGCATAATCTGTGTTTGCAGCTGTCTTACAGTTGGTTAAGTGCAGCAGAATAAAGGAGTGGGAAAGCACACTCAGCTTTTTACTCACTCTAAGACCTTGCCCCTGTGTGTTGTGCTGCCCATTTTCCCTTAAGCCCAGCTACTTGCTCAGGTTAAATAACCAGATAAACCTTGCTCTTCCCAAGGGTCTTACAATAGCTATAAATGCTCCTTACCCCTCAGGAGTGTACGCAGCACTGACTCCAGCACTCCAGCACACTTTTCAAAGCAAGGTGCTGTGAAAAGACTTGCCGTGACTGAACAAACATTATCCTTCGTAATGTGGAGGATAAGATAAACCTCAATGAACATGGAGTGACGCTGCGTTTTGGAGTTCAACAGAGAAGAAGCTGTGATGCTAACACGTCAGTGACAGGCAAGGATGATAAATGATTCATTCTGCTTATTATCTAGCCCCTAAAGAAAGTCAGAAGAGTCAGCTGGCAAGCAGACAGTGGTAAGATGTCAGAGCAATTTTGTGCATTACAGCAGACAACTCTGCTCTGCAGCAGCGGCCCTAGAGGAACGCATGGTTTGCAGCTGACTACTAGTCTAGCCCACAGTAAAAAAGCAAAGGGAAGATGCTTTACCCTTACACAGGCCACCTTGTCCCCYCTGCTACCTCCATCCTGGTAATAACAACCCCAAGTGTGTGCTTACCAACCCAGGAGCCAAAGAGGCCTCAGCCCCTGCCCCAACCACTGAGTGGTGCTGTGGGCTCCCGTGCCACACAACGGTCACACAGCTGCAGCCAGTGCTCCCCTCAGCGCTCCCCTCTCCGCCGAGGGGCTCGTCACATGCCGGCCGGGAAGCAGCCCGGCTAGCATGTTCAAAGGAACAAAGCACCAATAAATAAAGGAGAAGGTAGTTACAAAGTGCACCTAAAGGTGTAGGCRCTTGTTCTGCAACAGAAAAGCCAAAACAAGCAAAGACTTTAAATACCTTTGCATATTTTTTAAATTTGGCCCCCCAAATCCAAATGTTGCAGTGTTAAGTAAGCAGATTTGTTCAGAAGAAATGCAGTATCTGAAGCTCTTACTGACTTCATCTCTCTGGGCAAGATTCAATAATAATTGCTAGTAGAAGTTCCCTTGGAAGAAGAGAGGGTCAGCATGTTCATAATAGCTATGTAAAAGATGTAAAAATAGTAATCTTACAAAGGTATAAACGCTGCATAGCTCTCAGATGAAGAAATTATTTAGTACACACCTTTGGTGTTTGCGTTCTTTCTTTCATGACTTTTGTCCCAAAGGAAGAAAGACTTTATGGACATAGTCAGCCCTACAGCAACACTGTAGAAAAGACCTTACAGAACTGAAAATGAGGTTGAGATCCATTTAAGCTGCTAGAATAGACCAGAAATGGAGAGCACCTGTGGCAGCCCTTCTTGAAACCTTTGTAATTTGGAAGGGCAAGAGCCTCCTCTTTTCCTCTTACAGAGGACAGCAAAACTTCAGAAGGAAACATTGCAATTCGGAAGGAAGGCATGGATCTCCCCCCTTGTTTTTGTGTCAGTCTTGGTTAAGGCACCTCCATGTGAAATCCTAAGCAATCACGAAATTTCTCTCTGTAGGGATTGGCCTTGGCTCATACAATGTTTTGCAAGAATCATATTGGCCAAAGAACTGCTATAAAACAAGCATTACTTCATGCTTAAAGACCTGAAATAGGAAACATTATTTTGCATTGACTGAGGGTACTACATTTTCCACTTTCTAAGTAATTTTTTCCTGTTCTTGAATGTCCGTGGAGAAAAGATGAGATCAGAAATTCATCAGTTTTATAGTGGTTGGCCAGTAAACATCTTTTTCATCATTGAGATCATAAAAGTTGTAAAGTTGAGCCTTGCAAACCACTTATATCTGATGGTTCTGCTCTCTTAGCAGGTGGCTTCCTCTGGTTAACTAGAAATTCTCCTCAGCACAGAGGTTTGATAAAAATAACCATCATTGCTAATTATGCATGAGGTCTAGCAAACAGTAACAGAAATAAAATGCTAAAAAAGGAGAAAAGGAGAACAAAGTTAAAAAAAACCCAACACTCCTTACAAGAGTTTTGATTTAACAGAAGTTTACTTTTTTCAATAGAAGAATACTTTTTTTCTTTCCAGAGTTAAAAGGCAGTTAASAGTTTCAAGCACACATATACAAAAAGTGCTCTAAGACTGACATGTTTTCAGTTGGTTTTCTAAAAAGCTTCAGTGAAATCAAATGTAATTTCCACAGTCACAGTTCAGCCACAGTCACAGTTCAGCAATTATATGAAAAAGCTTATATTGTAATATTAATTAGTTACTCTCTGCAGCTCCCAGCTCTTTTATCACATAATTGACTTAAATGTCATTTATCAAACTACATTCAGATGCATACTCATTTTAGGATTCTAGCCAAATTCTTCTAAGGAGGTTTTGCAGGGGTAAATCAGAGGTTAGATCAATATAATTTTCTTTCAGTAACTGGAACACAGATGCAAAATTTCCCACTGGAAAAATAGCTGCGTTTCCAAATTAATCCAGTCAATGATAGCAAAATGCAACCTGACTTATACCACACAGAATTTGTGTTACATAACTCCTAATGTGGTGCTAAGACAACAGGGAAGAATTACACTTTGCCAGAGGCAAGAATTCATCTTTCTCTCACTTTTTTTTGACTCAAGAGACACAYACCTAACTAATTAGGAATTCCACAATTAGTTAGGAATTCCTGAGGAATTCCACAATGCTTCAGCTTCTTATTATGTTAAAGGATTTTTAACATATGCTTTTTAAGTGGACCTCATGATTATTTTTATTTTAAAAGATGCTTTTTCTCTGACGTCTTCCCCTTAGTTACTGCACTGGGAATAACAATGCACAGGCACAAAATACGCAGCCTGAGCTAGGCACTCATGTGTCACAGTAAAACTTAATACTTACAGAGCACTCTACTAACCAAAAACTATATGGAGCAACTCCCAGGCAGYCAAAAATACAGAACTACCTTCCTCATATGCCTGCTCCATGGTTGTCATGTACCTCCATTTGAACCTGCTCAAAAGCAGGATGGCTTTTCATTCTGCCAGTGTCAGGTGTGCACAGGCAGCAAAGTCCCAGTCTCACACGCACAAAASAGAACACAGAATCTAAACTCCAAACCTGGTTATGATTTGTTCTTCTTCATACTTATTTAAAATTCTCTTTTGGCTAACCCCACACTCTTTCCAGATACACTAATCCATAACAATGGTACAGTGCCAAGTGCTCGCTTTTGTCTTTGAGTACTTCTACATTTTTAAAAACTGCGAGATTTGACAAAAAGGGAGCACTGCCATTATCCAAGTTTCTCCTTGTTTCTCCTTGCCATCTCCAAGTTTTCTCCTGCATCAACTCCCTACTTGTTTTGGATACTATAACGCACATCGTAAAATATGATTATGGATTTCATGTAAGGGGCTAACATTTCAGTTAGGTTTAAGAAAAAAAAAAGAGTGCATACTGTGTATGGATGATAAAATGCTCAGTCTAAAACTGCAACTTGCAATTTCCTGCTTAGCTGCTATTTGACACCAGAAGTCTAAATTTTTACTTCATCTGGATGCATAAACTTTACTTCTCTATATATGCAGGTGACTATGCAGGTGACTTTAGTAGAGATATCCTCTTGCTGAAGAAGGCCAACTTTCAATAATAAGAGTTTCACTGAGTCAGAGAGGAGCTAAAGATGAACACAGCACCCTATACAACAGTGGCTAGGGTATCAGTTTGAACATGGGGAGTCTTAGGATCACATCATTCTGCAATCACTTTGGCACTTCATAGGCTGAAGGACTCTCTTGTGCCTTACAAAAAAAAAAAGAAAATACTGTAAGGAATCAGAACAAAATATGTCACTGGCTGTRTTCGTGGGAAAGCAATTTGAATTTTAGAGCGAAATGACATCTTCTGATCAAAATCTATCTCCCTTTACTGGACTATCTTGTACACAGGGTCTCCAACTTGAATTGTTCCAGTTTTGTCAACAGCGAAATATCTTCCGAAGAGAGGACTGGATTTGTACAGATGTTGCTCAGATGGATCACATAAGCGGTAGCTGCAGAGAGAAAATACTTCTTAAAAATCAGAAAATTTCAGTGATGACAGAASTGGCATGTGAACAGTGATGTCCTATGCTGGTCAACTTATTAACTAAATATAMCAGTTAAGAGAACTAAGCAGTTCAAATAAAATCAAATTGATTGCATTCACATAACCATGTATTCACACACACAGAAACTATCATAAAAAAATGCCAAAGTGCTAAGTTAAACCATTAAATACCTTAAATATCTATTTCCACAGACATTCACACAAAGAAATAAAAGAGGTAGAGAAGGTAAAGTTCGCAAAAAAGAAGAAAGAACTTCCTGAGTTTTCTTACTATATGGAATTGCAGAAAGTAGAATTAAAGTCAATATAGGCAGACCTTTACACCCTGACCTTGAGTCTAACATATGCTTAAAATCACTTATGTAACTCCTGTCTAATGTCTATTGGGATCTAGCCTATATCTACTCGCAGGCTTGGGAAGCACTGGTATTTTTACAACCTTTTCAATGTTTCCAGGGGCTCCTTCCTATCCATGACCCCAGTGTCTGGGTCCACAGTTGTTAAAATACACCTGCAACAACAGACAGTGCCATGTCAATAATGGTTATGTACGTATGCATACATATATGTGTGTGTGTGTATGTATGTATTTAATAGGAGTCCCAAACATTTACCTGCCACAAGACACTGTTCCTTTCAACTCCACATCACCAATAACAATGTCCTCCCAGGAGTCCTGAGGGAAAGGAAACATTATGCACAGATTAGACATATCCGCATGTAACCATTTCTCCAGGAGCTGGTTCTAAGCACAGTCACTCCTGGAAAAAGAGGTATCATTCTGGACAATCATCTYTCTCATATCTACACGGTAAGTGCAATTACAATATGGTATTATTTTAATGAAATATCTATTGTCATTTTACTMACCCAATTCAGCACACATCAGTAATTACATTTAATTAAAGAGCAAATTCTTTGGCAAAACGGAAACATGACATCAAAACACCCAGAAGCCATCAACACCATCAGTTACCTTTACTGGATAGAGTGCTTTTTGCACCACTAGAATATTGTCAGAGATGCAGTTATGGTACTGCAGTATTACAAGGGTGAGTTTTTACTCCTGTGACAACCACTAAAAACATCACACTGACAATTTACAAATTCTTTACCTGTATCATTAATTTTATGCATTATAGTCTACATAACTTTCCTTACTTTACACTTTTAAGGCAAGCACTCAGTCACAGCCTGTCACTTAAATACACTTATTTTATCCTTCACTAAGGTAAGTATCCACAGGCTTGCCACCTCCCTCAGTGTTTCACACACATTTAAGTGAGCTGAAGCTGCACTTGTCTGGAGGTCTGCTGCAAATCACAGAGCAGCTCCTCATCCTTCTAGACACAATCCCCCAAGGAAAAAAAAGCCACAAACACATATCCAAGCCTCCAAAAAGGCATTTAGGAATTATTTTACCTCTTCATAAGCACTGCAACCTGAAACAAGAATATTTGGCCTGAAGTATTCCATCTTAACTTTCTTTTCCAGCCTGCTGTTTAGATCTTCCAGTGAAGCTTCTGTAAGCATCAAGACTGGGCTGCAGTCAGGATAGGCAACCTACAGAAATAAACACAAAGAAATCCTATGGCTACTGCAAGACCACGGCAGCAGAGTTTGCAGAAATACTTAGCGGTAAAAAAGACTGGTATGCCACAGAGTAGCCTGGCAGTGTTATGTTGCTGCAGTAATGTTTTAATTCACTGGAAGTTATGTTAAAAAGTGAAAAAASGAGCCATTTCCTGCATGTTAAAAGTGAAAAAAATGAACCTCTTCCTATATCAGTAAACACTCTAAGTTTCATTTACTCAACTTGTAAAATTAAACTTTATTTATAGGGTTAAGTCACAAATTATATCAGCTACTACAGCTTCTTATATAATGCAATCAAGGTAGGATGCATGTTCCAGATGTTAATTTTGAGTTTTACAGGTGGAGTAAAGTATGTCAGTAAAACAGGTTATTGCAAGTTGGGGTAGACAGTGAGAAGTTTATGGACTTGCTGGACTTACCTGATTGACTTTAATCAATTAACTGCATTTTTCTATATGCTGAATCTATCTTACCACAGTATACTGAATCACCTCATCACTGAATCTACCCTATGACAGAGCAAGTTTCTCATACAGAAGAGCCACATTAAATTGCAACCATCCACTCTTTGGCCTAAGTTTCTTTAGTGGCAAGAGTGCTGCCATTGTGGCAAACAAGGCCAATGAACAGGATTAAAAGAAAAATTCTACACAGTTGCCAGTGACCCTGAAAGGGCAGAAAATTTTTGGAAGAATTTTGGCATGAAAACCCTTCTGTCTTTTCACCTATACTATCATTTTCCTCTCACGCATACTGTAGCTTAACTACGCTACTGAGCACAACACCTTCTCTCTCTACTGCAAGTATTTAATATCCCATCTTTCAGTTTCTCCTCATAGGAAGAAAAACATGAAAACTCTTTGGACGGTAATTCCTTGGCCTACGTCTACAGAGAGCTGGGTTTTGCATCATCCCTTTATACAAAATATAAGACAACTCATCTCACAACACTGCTAGACCTAACAACGGATAGAGAATGAAGGTTTTCTGCCTAACATGGATACACCAGCAAAATATCTTTAAAAATATAGCTTTCTTCTATTCTCTTCTATAAAAAGAAGAGGTTCCAATAATATTGCAGTGTAACATTTCCTCTTAAAACGTCAGCATAAAACTCCTTACCTGTGGAGGATCAACAGTTTAGAGCAGACTGAAAGCAACATCTAGGCAAGTAAGTCATTGCATCAAAGGTAAAGTGAATGTTCATGTGCTTTAAGTACAGGACAACCTACTTGGTTAATTGAGTTCACCACCTGAGGGCTGAACATGCATGTTTGGGCAAGGGAATATAAATTTAAGAAGGATACAAAACCTCACTGCTGGCAAAAACAACATTCATTTACCTCATCGGTGGTTCGGAAACGGTTTATTATATCCTTGGACTTCCGTGGCACCATGGAAGGCTCAAAGTGCACTAGTCGATACGGCTCTGTTTTCAGGAAAGAGGTAATCCACTGGGCCACTTCATCGCCACAGTCCCTCCCTTGGATATCCAGTCCAAATATCCTGCAGGATCACAAGTTAGATCACAGTTAGCTGCAAAGCTGAAGGCTCAATATTCCCCAAAGGCAAACAGCCTGTTAAAAAAAAATAGTAGTCGTAAGATCCTGTAACCAAATTACCCAAATTGTAATAAAGCAGAAGTTGGTTACTGAATGTGGTGTAAGAATCATTCCAACACACAATTTCCTGTGCATACCTTGTTTTGGAAGATRAGCAGGAGGGACATGGTCAGAAAATAGCAGCTCACCTCAATGTGAAGGAAGGAACCCTGAAACAGGCAGTGGGTGCATGGATTTAATGTCACCCACTGGTCCCATAAGGAAACACACAGGTCTGCTGCTCTCTCAAGCAAAACCAAGGGCCGGCTCTTGCCCTGGGGTGTGTGACCTAAACACCAAAAGATCTTTACCTAGAAATGTAGAAACTACAGTCTGAAATGTAACTGACTGCAGAAAAGAAATCACAGTTTAAAGGGGCATGGTTAGTTACTGTAATTAAAATTTGTAGCTGTTGTCCCTCAACGCTAAGGAAGCTTTCCTTCAAATTTTAGTGCTGCCAAAATTTAGCTAAAGCTCTCTAAGACTGCTGTCCAAAGACCACTTGAACTAACACGGTGATACTAATAGATTTGCATGTGTCAAAAATATTCTTATGACAAAACAGCAAAACATTTTCTGAGAAAACCTAATATTTACATTATTCTCAGAAATCACACATGGGGTCTGAGCCACATGAGAGTCAATTTTGCAGCTCAGAAGGCTGAGCAGAGAGTGACCTGAACCATCAGACCAGYGGTCTCAAGAAGAAACTACTTCCCTCCCCAAAACAGCTATTTCCCAAAACCTGAAAGATTTTTTTTTTTCCCAAGCAGATAAACCTAAGTTAAAAACAACRACAATAATAAGTGACATTCATTGACTTCCCCTAAAACTGCTGGCACAACATCCCAGGAGGTCCAGCGTCAGGTAGCAAAGTCAATGAGTAACACTAAAACACAGAGATTGAGCTGCTCTATGTTCTAAGAGAGGTTAAAGATTTAAACCAGAAGCAAAGTCCATAGGGCATAAAAAGCCACTGGCAGCAGGAAACAAACAAGTTTACTCAAGTAGCAATTTTTTTCTGGCAGGAAATGTAAACCTCCACTCGACTTCCCAATAAACTTCAACACCAGTCACAGATGATTTTATTACTGTCCTCAGAGCAATGATTTTGACCCCAAAGCACTGCAGTTTGCCTCCTCAGCCATACATCGCACAGCTTAAAGCACATAAATGTCCAGGCAATTCACGTAGCTGGTGCCCCACTGCTCAAGACCCTCATGTGAGGAGGACATGAGTTACTGGTCACCAGTGGTCACTTCCCCTCGCGCCGAGCACGTCGCAGGTCACTGTCGGGGACTGTGGCTAGTAGTGGGTTAATGCTACTAGCCACCACTAAGTCACCACTTCTGGTCAGTTCCTAGAGGAGCAAGAGGGAGCCCTCGTAAATACACGCTCACTAGATCTACTCATAGTACCCACAGGTAGGTCAGTGATGCGCATCTCCAGCTCCTGCTCATTTCAGGGACTTGCTGGGAGTCAGCGCACTACGAGCTACTGAGCAGTAAGCACTTGAGTGACCCAGCTGCCCTGTGCACCGCATCTGGACACCCGCTGGCAACACCCATTTGAGCCTCTGTGCTGTGATCGCAAGCATCAAGGACCTTGCTCCCATAGCTGTGACAGCTGGTGGGTACCTGCTTGTGCACCTAGGAGCCCAAGGCACAGCCAGGGAGAGCTCCACACAGGTGCAGCTACCTTTGCACCACGTTACTGCAGCTTCAGGGAGCAGAACCTCTACTCACAGCAGCCTGAAAGGAGGGTGGGATCATCCTCGCCTGTGGGTCTGCGGAACTAGTGCAGGACAAACAGTGACCATGTACCCAGCTTAGGGGCAATTTGCTSTTTTGGAAACACAACCTGTCCCTTTTTATTTTCTTCCTTTTTGGGTATAAGGAATAAAAAGCAGAGAAAAGAGTAGACAAGTTTGAGAGATGGTCCTAGACCATCTGTCYGGCTGTACTCTATCAGGGAGCAGAGATTTGCTCCTACAGTCAGTTAAATAATACATATGTGTATATGTATATATATGCATATATGTATATATAGAGATATATAACATGTTGTTTAAGCTAATCACCACATCTGCAGCAGTGTGGAAGCTGAAGCTGACTTGACGAAGATGATTAGGAAGGTTAAAACTGGTGTATCACGGCAAAGGTCTGAGAGGGGGGATGCAGTGATCCAGGCAAGCCCTGAGACAGGTCACCTGAGGCAGAGAACGACCCACAGAAGCTCCTGGGGAGTTTCTGTTTAAGGCAAAGTAGATCCCGYGAGCAAGACGCTTTCTGCTGTTACATGCAGGAAGGGGTGCAAGGCAGTATCAGTGCAGCAAGCAACAGTAGCGTGGAGGCCAAAAGGAARCGATAGCCACACTTGTTCAAATGCATGCAGGTGATAAGGAGCAGACTTCACTTTCCTAAACAGAAAGAACAAGTCTATCTTAATTAGGATAAATTATATAAAGTAACAAGATATGCGGTGCACTGCTGTTCTGTGGTGACACATCTATAAACATGTTCATAAGTGTTTATATAAAATGTTTACCTATTAAAAATTAACCCTTAACTAAGTACTTTATTTTATAATGAATTTTATTTTATAATTTTATGTAACTATAAATAAAATTTATAATAAATTTTATAATAAATATTATTTATTTATAATAAATTTTATAATAAATTTTATTTATTTTGGTCCTTTGCTTTATTCAGAAGCAGTGCAACTCTTGACACAGAATACAGACCTGCCTTCAGACTGGTCTGATAACAGACACAGGGGTCCTACAGCTTCCTGGATTACTTTTACCTCAAAAGCAGATTTATCCCAAGCACAGGAACCCCTGGGAAAATTATGCAACCATATAACGAAGGTATCACAACAGGTACATACAAATGCACAAAAACAGACTGCAGCAGCTTCTTAASCAGAGAGCTGAAGAAACTCTCAACCCTGGCAATCCAATAAACTATATGCAYGAATAAGAGACAGAGTGCATGCGGTGGCTTCAGCATTACATTTGCCTCCCTCAAACATCGTATTTTTTAATTTCAAAGTAGACACTGCATCTGGACTTAGCAGTTTTAAAGTAGTGCAATGTGTGCACAGCCTTTTCCAGCCCAACATGCCATGGCATTGCCTCAGCTCTGGCTGGGCACAAGCCAGTCCCAGSGGGAAGGCATCATGCGCTCCGAGCACAGAATCAACACAGCTCCGGGCACAGGACCTTGCAATAGGATTGCTGCAAGCAAAAACCTGCAAAAAAAAGACTTCATTTGCCTGAACTGTTCCCAAATCTCACTTTGGGAATGGCTGACTAGATCAGAAGAGTCAGCCTGGAGCCGACAAGCAGCAACTCAAATTGCTGAAGTGTAGCAGCTGCACAAAAAACAGGCCTCAAGCTGAAAGAACCAGACAACTTTAAACTAGGGGCATTGCTGCTTCCACATGCCATGACAGCGTGTACGTACCAGACAACCTGKCAGCTTTCCAAGTACACTTACACACACCTAACCTTGCGTATCTACATTTCCTACATCTAGCAGTTCTAAACCCAGAGAGGGCAAGAGTTTATTAAAGCAAAGGAAGAAAATTAAGGAGAAAAACAAAGCACTGGCATCTGTAATTCAGAAGTCCAACCTATCTTTTCATTACTAAAATGCACTCGGTCCATTTAAATCCTTTTCTAGTGGCTCAGAATTTCAGAAAGATAATATATCAAAGTGCATAACCTGTAGCTTGCACCTGCCTTGTGTAAATAAAGATCCTGAGCTCTGCTAATAAGCAGTTTCCACAGCAACACTTATTACARAAGCTAATGAATGCAGTTCCTTCCAAGCACTCTGTTAGATTTAATTATAGCAGCTGTTACATTAACCTATTTTGCTATCCAAAGGAAATAAACACTTACCAGCATGTTTGTAGAGGCTAATACCACAGTTACTGCACAGTCTTATCTAGAGTTGGCATTTAGCAGTGATTTGTGATTTCCCTTGGCCATTTTTCAGCATGGATTAAAACACACTGCTGGAAAAACAGGCCAAGGTAGTGCTGAAGACATGACTGAGACACCAAAGTTTGTCACGGGGTCACCTTAAGCCCCTCAAGGATGCAAGGGGAGGCGGCAAGGAAGAACTTGCTCCCTGGAAATGCCCTTCTCTCCCCTAGGATTAGAGGGGAGCTTCAGGCAATGGGGAGACTCCTCTGGGCACCTCAGCTGAGTGTCCCTGGCGAGGGCACCTTGGCCCTGGCGGCTCAGCCAGCGTGCAACCCAGAACGCTGCTGCGTGCACGGGTGCAGCCAAGAAAGTCTGCGTGATGGAGACCACCAGAGGCGAGCTAAAAGGCAAGAATAAGAAAAGCAGAAAGTAGACAGAAAGGAGTAAGCATGCCATGGGATGAAGGCTCAAGATCACAGTTCATCTGGCAGAAATATACGGCACGTGATCCCCGATTACTGCGCTATGGTCTGCGAAGAGTTGCTTTCACTGGAATGTAACAGATTAAAAACAAACAAAGCCTTAAACCTCACACTGCCACAATGGATCTCGTGCACAGGGCACAGCGGAGAGCTCCATCTCGCGCCCGGGGCGCCCGCCGGGGTTGCGGGGCGCGCGCCCGGCCGTACCTGCAGTCCCGCACGCGGTTCTTGCGCGGCAGGCGGATGGGGAAGCTCAGCTTCGTCATCTCGGGGGCGCTGAGCGTCAGGCAGCCGTTCTCGCAGCCCACGGAGACGAGCACGAGGCGCGGCTCCTGCCGCGCCGTCACCATGTGCCCGTCCTCCTTGGTCACCAGCCAGAACCTGCGCCAGAGCGGGGAGACAAGGGCGCTGAGCGCGGCCGCGCAGAGCGCGGGGCCGCCCGGGCCGCCGCCGCCGCCCGCTACCTGTCGCGCAGGTCGCCGCTGCGCAGCCCCATGGGCGTCACCTCCGCGCGCGACACGGCCGCGCCGCGACACGACTTCACGGGGTACACGACGAGCCGCGACACCGTGCCCACCCGCTCGAGCCGCCCGCGGCGCCGCCGGCGGCCCCTGCCGGCCCAGCGCCAGGCGCCCAGCAGGGCGCCCAGCGCCGCCGCGGCCGCCGCGGCCCAGAGCCAGCGCGGAGCGGCCGCCATGACGCGACCCAGCGCCCCGCTCATGGCGACTGCGGCACGGGGCGGGACGCGCCGCTCCGGCCCTCCCGCCGTCCCCGCCGCCCGGCCCGGCCCCCTGGGCGGCCCGCCCGCTTCCCCGCCCCGGCCTCGCCGTGGCGCTGGCCGCTCGGGGAGGAGGAAGTCCGCGTGTTGGCAGCGGGTGGTGCCGCCTCCCTGCACTCACCGGCAGGGGCCGAGGGTCAAGGCAGCACAAACACGAGTGAACACTGCCTTCTGCTTCTGTTTTGTTTAATATTTGGGCTGTTTTAGCAAGGCACATCCCAGAAACGGATAGTGGATAGTGGATAGTGGATAGTGCAGGAACACAGGTGTAACTGACACATGGGACCAGCTCCGAGGGAATGGGCAGTGCTTGGGAATGGGCCATGGTCAGCAGCCGGCCCGGGGTGGGCAGACCTCAGCGCCCCAGCCTGGACCGTTCGGGCCGCATCTGGGCACGTGTCTGAGCAAACCGYGCGTGAGAGCCCGTGCGAGGGCTGCCCCGTGCTCGGGAGGCCCTGCCGGAGCGCCAGGGCCAGCCCGGGGCGAGAGCCGGAGCCCCGCGGCTCCACGGAGCTCGGCACCGCTGGAYGTCACAATGGTGGAGCCACAGAGCAGCCCCCGGCAACCCTGCAGCACGCTCCCGACCGGCACGGCCAGCGTTCCTCCTGAATCCCCAGTGCACATTGCTGGGGTCAGGAGCTCTCRTTGAAACCTCTAGGATCGGTCCGCCAGGAGGTAGGAGACAGAGGAGTTCAGCACAGGGCATTGGGACCGGGATGGGGGACTGGAAGAACTACATTAACTGCATCCTGAAGGACAAGAATGTGGAAGACGTGGCTATCGTGGGCCACACTGATAACAGGTGCGTGTGGGCATCCAAGCCGGGAGGGCTGCTCGCAGCCATCTCTCCTCAGGAAGTGGGCTTGATCACCGGCCCTGACAGGAAGGCGTTCCTGCAAACCGGCATCACCGTGGCTGGCAAGAAGTGCAGTGTGATTCGTGACAACCTGCTGGTGGAAGAAGATGATGTGATGGATATCAGAACCAAAGGTGGAGACAGCAGGTCCATCTGTATTGGTAGGACCTCCAGAGCCCTGATCTTCCTCATGGGCAAGAGGGGCGTCCATGGGGGAGCCCTCAATAAGAAGGTCCATGAAATGATTATGGGCATGAAAATGTGCATCAGATAATGTGAAAGCCACTCATCTTCCTGAGCACAGGAMGAGGAAGGAAAGCAACCTGATTTAGTTAAACATGTCTCTGCCTGCTTCTTTCAGGTAGGGGCTGCTGTGCTGGCAGATGTTCTGGTACACTAATAGTCTGCCTGACCATGTCTTGCTGCAGAAATGAGCCAGATTCACATTCCTTTACCAGGATGCTTGGTGTTACTTGAGTTGTCTCCAGGCATTCTTGGATGATCTCTCCCTGTTACTCTCGTTTTACTGACTGATTTTGCTGACTGATTTGGGGGAAAAGGTCTGTGTTAAGAGTAGGTCTGGGAAAGGGGAGAAGAAATGGCAGTCCCTTTGCATGCCAGTTCTCTATTTTGCTGTTTGATCAATCGCCAGAATGGCATTTGTCATTTTTAAGACCTTCCTGATTCTACGAGTAGTCCACAACACTAAAAGTAAGCAGTGCTACTTAAAACAGGCTGCCTGTATTTCATTTTCATTAACATACCATCAATTATAGCTCATTTCATTTTCTTTCATGTCACATTAAGAATTTTTTGAATCCATTGTACACCGTTTGCCACGTGTTAATCAGAAAGGGCTGATCACGGGAAGAGAGAAGGTAGGTCACCTTCACTCGGCATCAACACAGAGAAAACTCAAGGAGGTATCTTCTCACCTTGATGCTGTCAGCTAACTTGATCTTCTTTCCCCAAGTCTGGTCAGACCACGCTGGGTGGTATGTTGAAGGCAAGACCAGTCCCATCATATGGAGCTTCCTTGCTCCGTTGTTCCTGGTAGSCCTGGAGCTGGACAGCCAGCCTGACCCCACCACACGCCCTCCCACAGCAGCATTGATGGGCCATACTCACAAACCACAGTAACATACCCCGTTCTCTGTAACCGTTGCATCTCCCCATACTAGCAGGAAAATTGCACACTTGGGTAGAGCCTGTTTTAGAGCCTGCAGAACCTGTTTGGAAAGTCAAGCATTCCTTTTTCCCCTCCGCCTTCCAATTGTTTGGTCTCCCAGGCTCATTGAGTCAAAAATAATTACTCTTGAAGAATTTGTGAAGGTGCCACAGAGATGAAAGTTGAGCCAGCCCTGCTGCACAAACTTAGAGCACTTGCAGGCTCTTTGATAATCATTATTCTCCTAATTTGAAGAGGGAGTCAATATTTTGTAATTTAATTAAACTCACACAGAGATCTTTAATCTGCAACCATACCCACAGGAGCAGAAAAAAACACTATAAAGGGAAGCAGGTGTCTAATATATTAGCAAATGTTCAACAAAATCATGGTGACTGTCTGATTAGTAGGTAGTGTCCCCATTAGCAGAGCTCAAAAGCAGTTTAGACCCATCCTGTGTGATGCTGCAGTGAACAGCTACAGTGGCTTTTTAGTTAGACACTGTGATAGTTTTACTAAAGAAGTCTCCTTCTGTTGGAAGGACCTGTTAACTAAACCTAGAAATAGCTAACCTTTGTTAGCAATTGCATGTTAACTTAGAGAATAATTTCTTTATAAATCCAAGAGGAAAAGAAACCTTTGTTCCCTAAATCTGCTATTATGGAGCCTGAGGAAATTTTTTTTCACCCAGCTCCAAAAAGCATCTGTTACATTCAGCCCTGTCTCTTCCTGAAGATTACGGCATGAGGGAGCTTAAGGAGGAATAACAGAAGGCGGCAGCATCTGCATGGTCTCTCCTCCCCTGCTGTGATGCAAGGAATGTAAAATTAGAAGTGGCTGCCAGGAGCGTGGCCATGGCTTAACATTTCAGGTCTAAGACAGCAGGCTGTGGGTAAAGCAGTCTGTTCAGCCACGCTGCGGGCACCTTTCAAAAAGCCTCCAGTAAGCASCTTAACCAGCAGCTCTGCTTTATCCTCCGTATCAGGCACTTACCTAGGAGTCACCACCTCCTTCCGCTATAAACCAATGTGAATAGAGCCTTTCAGAAAAAAAAAAATCTTCCTGATTTTATTTCACACCAAACACCACCGCTAGCGTAACAGAATTGTTTTTGCTTTAGCCAGAGTGAGTACGGTAAACCTGAATTTCCCAGAAAATGACCTTGTTTTCAATTGCTTTTCACTTTTTGAACTTCCAGGCCTTTGTGCTGAAATTCTCCATGCYGGGTTCTTACCCCAGGCAGAATTTGCTTAAATCTGACCAAATAGAGGATTTGTAGTGTGAAACCCATGGCAACTGGAGCCGGCTCTCCGTTCAGAAAGGCGATGAGCTTGGTAAAGCGTTTGTGAGCTCAGAAGCACCCATATGGCAACATTTCCGATGCCTGGAGTTGCCTGGGAAAGGTTTTAGTTTTGTTTAGTCTTTTAACAATGTTGAACACTTTCAATGACAGGCTTGGTGAAGGGGTGTCAGGATGGAGTTAATGCAGGTTGGTCTCATCTCACTGAAGGAACAGGGATTAAATGGCAGCAGAAGGGCCATTTCAGGCATTTTCCCAGCAGTTCTATCATAATTCCCAGGATGTAGAGGGTGAGGAGATGACTGACACTACTGAATATGCAGTTATCTTGTCTTCTTCATCCCCCAGTGCATCACATGGATTTTGATGTGATAAAAAATATATTACACACCATTATATTACACAGACAAATAAATCCTTCCTTCCAAACACAGAATAAACAATAAATTCATAAGATTGTGTTATATAGAGAATAAAAGGAGGATAAAAGCATTGCTCTTTCCTCCTGTAGGAAATCTGAGTTCAGGGAGTCATGCACTAGAAATGACCTCAATGAAGTGAATGTAGAGAAAAATTTCAGGCAAATAATTGGAGATGATAGAATTGAAAATAGGGTCATTTATGGTAGATGCCTTGTAGGGGACACTGCACAATCAGAAGAGGGGGTGTGTTTTGGGAGGCTTTTCCCACACCAGGAATCGTAAATAAAAGCTAGGCAGGTGGGCAGGTTACTTTGTTCACAGTCTGGTCACACAGGAAAATTAAATGAGGTTTTTCTTTTTCCTGTGGTCAAACGTTAAACTTTGGCATCTGTGAATTCAACCAACTGGTTGTTCCAAGCAAATGTTTACTGCAGTGTTAACRAACACAGTCTAATCACAATGCAGAATGCACACTGTGTTCTGTAATTGCAGTTCTCCAGGTGAATACAGCACTGGCCAGGCAGCTTTAGGATTTTGGATACGCAAGGCAGAGATGCAAGTGATGTGGGAGGGCAGGTGGGGACAGCRGAGAGGTTTTACTGGGGCCTGGTGCACTCTGCAGCAACAGGACAGGCAGGTTTTGGGAGAGATGACTTAGCATTCATTGAGGGCAAGCAAGGGACTCTGTAAAGTACAGTGCATGTTTAGATACTCAAGAAAAAAACAAAGCCAATGTTTGCATAACTTTGCCTTTGAAACAATTGCAAACAGGACACAGAGGTTGGGGAGTCAACCGGGTGTAAAACCCTGGTATGCAGAGACACGTTACAGAGCTGGGACCTAACTTCCTTAGCGACCGGCCATGAGGAACTGCCTCCATGGGCAGGATATCCCTGCAGGAGGAGGAGGTGCTGCGCAATGGGCGGCTGAACACGGATGGAAATCTGCATTTTTCCCAGGAGATGGCACTGACGGACARTCACCTTCCAACATCGTGCGGTGGAGCAGAGGCTTCGCGGAGGGTCGGGCTGCTCTTCGCRCCGTTTGCACTGGCACCTCTGGGAGTTGCTCCCTGTCACCAGAGGCAAAGCTTCATTCTTGACCTCTGCCATGTTAGCAGGGTATGGTGGAGGGTGAGGATGTCTGTGCTTTATGTCCCCATACAAAAGTTATTTTTCGTATACAAGAAGAATACAA